TTCTAGTGCTTGGGTGTGTGGGAGTTTGAATGAGAATGATCCCCTTAGTCTCATGTTTGAATACTTGGTTCTCAGTTGGTGGAACTGACTGGGAAGGAGTAGGAGGCATGGTCTCATTGGAAGAGGTGTGTCCCTGGGGGTTGGACTTTGAGGTTTCAAAAGCCTTATGCCACTCTCGGTATGCTCTCTTCTTTGTGCCTTCGGATCAAGATGTAAGCTCTCAGCTACTGCCCAGCATCACCCCCCCCCCCCCCCGCCTGCCTGTTGCCATGTTTCCCTTTGAAACTGTAAGCCACAAATAAACTTTCATCTCTAGGTTGTCTTAGTCATGGTGTTCTATTCCAGAAAGAGAAAATAACTAAGACAAGGAATATCAGGAAGATGGTTAGTTTGTATCTCCAGAGCTCGCTGCCTATTGTGTTCCATGTCTTATTTCCAAAACTTACTTCATTTGATTTCTCTCAGCCTCAAAGAGGTAAGAGTAATAGTTTCTTCTAGTGAAAGAAAAGGAATCAAAGAAGTGAAATGTTTTGCTCAGGGTCTGACAAATGGCCAGCCAGTATTTAAACCCTACTTATTCTGCCTTTAACTGCACCCCTTAAGTGAGTGGTGAGACAACAGTGGGCGGGGTCAGAGGTGAAGGTACTGCCATTTCCCTCGAGGAGGCCCAGCTGGCCTTTTGGCAAACAGTCTCCAGGGGCTGAGTCATGAGGACCCAGGTAACCATGCAAAGGTTTCTCAGAGAGTCTGTAAGGGTGGCTCTCAACCTTCCTAATGCTGTGATCCTTTAATACAGTTCTTCATGTTGTGATGAATTCCCCCACTATAAAATTAGTTCATTGCTACTTCATAACTGTAATTTTGCCACTTTTATGAGTTGTAATACAGAGACCTTATATGCGGGATATCTGATATGAGACCCCTATGAAAGGGTCATTCGACTCCCAAAGGGGTCGTGGCCCACAGGTTGAGAATGACTAGTCTACAGGGCAGCGTGTCTGGAAAACAGTGCTTTGGAGGGATCTGGGCTAACACAGTGCACAGATGGGGCATGCTCCATGTATCTGGGTGCTCTGCCAGGGAAAACTGATCATCTTAGAGCTTTGATACGTTCTTGTCTGTCCGACACTCTTCCAATTGCTTTCAATGTTAGCAATCGTGGTGCTGACAGAAACATCCAGCTTTGGGTTTAGTGTAACCAGGTTAAGGCAACTCATAAAGCAAGCTGGAAAGAGGGATAAGCCATTTGAGTTGTATATGGGGACTTCGACAGAAGCAATACTCTCATTGATTTTTTTCTCATAACTAGTGAAAGGAATTTTATGTTGGAGATGAGCATGTGTCTGATTTCTCTTGAAAATAGGTTAAACCACAGAAAATAATTTGGCTTAGCTATGTCAGAACATTCTGAAAAAAAACCCAGCTCTTTGTAACCACTAGTTTATCATTCCAGTGCAGGGGGGTACCTGTGTTTATGTCAGATAAATGAACAAAAGCATGTTAAAAGACAAGACTGTGTGAGGCAGGGGATTGATGAAAAGATAACCCACACTCCTAGCCACACATCCAAAGCAACAAGGAACACATACATCTATTTCAGATGCATTAAGAATCTTTTAAGCATAGTTATTGTGTGCATACTCCTATGGAATCACTTTTGCACTGTGTAAAATGTCTTAGATCAGCTTGAGGCTGGTACATGGTAGAGATTTTCTACTGTGGTGGTTTGAAAGAAAATGGCTCCCAATAGTGGCACTATTAGGAGTTGTGGCCTTGTTGGAGGAAGTGTGTCACTGTGGAGGTGAGTTCTCCTACGCTCAAGCTATGCCCAGAGTCTCAGATCACTTCCTGTTGCCTTCAGATCAAGATGTAGTCAGCACCACATCTCCCTGCACACCACCATGGTGATAATGGACTAAACCTCTGAAATTGTAAGCTGCCACCTTAATTAATGTTTTCCTTTATAAGAGTCTCTTCACAGCAATAGAACCCCTAAGACAACTACGCTAATGTTTTAAATTGCTTCTGTCACCTAATAGTTTTATTTCACAAAGTCACGTTCCAAGTTTGTTAATGGATAACTGACATGATATGCTAATAAGCCAAGGAAGATTAGTTTCAATTCAGGCTTCCTTATATCTCAGTGTACTTTACAAATTGTTTTTATAATATAGTCAATCTTGTGACTTCTTAAATATGCTCCTAAAGTTCACTGTTTCCAATGAATTATTTTGCACACAGCATTCCCCATTGTATCCAGAAAGACCCTTGCCATGAACTGCTAGAAACCATTTAATTGGAGACTCCTGACTCTTTAAAGCCTCGCTGTTACAAGTCTTAGTTTTCCCTCTCTTCATCTGTGTGAACTTCCTCTGAGTGTGAAGGAAGAGGCTTGCATGATGAGTACAGGTTCCATCCCACATGGAAACAGACAGTGATGTCACGAGTGCTGGCTATGGTCTGAGTGTTAAAGTGACATGCGGATTATCTCACTTAATCCTATTCTGTAGCTCTTTCCTCCAAATGGAAACATTCTCTCCAGAAGGAAGTGGGAGAGCTCATGAGACTTAGGCAATAGATGTAACAAACAAGGCCCAGGAAGTAAATGAAATTTACAAGGTTTAGGAAGCTCCCAGAAGTCACAAGATTTAATGACTTCCCTAAGGCTGTATGAGCAGTAACAATTGCTGGGATAGCGGACTCTCATTGGCCAAGCTGCCTATAAATTGTGTCAGGAGTTCTAGGGATACAACTTTCATGAGACTTCACCCATGATGGGGTTAGCTTCTTAGTGACACAGTTCCCTTTGAGTGACATGGGGTCCTGTAAGTAGCACCTGACCCACAATCCTATTGCTAACTTACCAGTTTGTTAAACTGTACTTGTATAGAATCATTTCTTTCTGTATCATTCATGCTATAACTATATAAATGAGAATTTTTTAATGTCTCCTCACAATACTTCTACAAGGTTGGCATTCAATCTTAATATGTATAGACAGGAGCACTGGAAGTCAAAAGAATACCCTTTTCTACTGCCATCAGAAGCAGTGCTATTAACAGCATAATATTCACCACAAGCCACCAGCTGGCCCTCTTACGCCTGGCTTCAGATCCCTGCTCCCTCAGGATGACTGGATTGGAAAAATATATGAGATATATTAGGTGCTGCGTGCTACCCAGGCAAACACACATTGCAAACCACAGGGTGGTCCTCAGGAGAAGGTTCAAGGATTCCCTCAGGCCTAAGCCAATTTTCTACTCCACAAAGAAGATTCTGAGCATAGGGTGTAAATGTGGGTAAACGTTGCTACTTCCTGTTGCTCACAAGGCAGTGGCAGAGCAACAGAATTCCAAGATGCAAGTCCAGAAAGCACCTGGCACTAGCTTGCCACTGGCTGTTGACTTGAAATAATTGGTTTAGCTTTGAAGGGCTATCAAGGATGTTAAATGACAGTCTGGCATTTCTGCATTCATTGTCCAGAGTGACCTCTCTCTGTCTCTCTTTTTTAAATGTAGCTTCTTATGTGGGAGCATGTGAAAAAAGTCTCATTTGTATAATAGCAGCATCAGCATGTCGGCAGTGTTTAACAAACCCTCAGTCTCTGTCTCCTGAGGTGCCTTTTTTCTCCTCGTTGGAGTCAGTTCATAGTTTTCTCTCCCTGGGGAGGCTGGGACTAAAGGCAGAATCTTCCAGACAGGTTAAAAATCAAGCTGGTATTTTAGCTCATTTTCTTTGGGACACATCTTCCTGTTAATTTTGGGTTCCTGGACACCACATCATTATTTCCCTGAGTCACAAATACGTCTCATACCAGTGGACTACATTTCTGCTATTCTAATGCTGAGCTTACTTCTTTCTCCTAGAAAAAAATTAGGTGAGATAATTTAATTCATGTTCAACATTACATACTTGCTTTCCTGTTTCTTATTCTTTGTGCTCTTTTCCTTTCTGGTAACTTTCTCCGCCATGTTTGCTATTAATAAAAACATGGAGATAACAGTTAAAGCGAAGACGTCAGGAAATGCGGGATTTTAGAAACAGGATCCTAGAACCCTATTCTGGCAATAGCGTCGCCACCCTGTATGTAGATGATCATTCTATCACCCTGTATCTTTGTTTCCCAGCTGCAAAGATTGATGTCTTTCTCTCTCTGAAGGATGCATGGAGATAATGTGATGGTATATGTGAGTAAGTCCCGACTCTTAGCAGAAATCACATTGCACTCTGTCCTCCATTCTCTTGTGTCACAGAGGACTACCATAAAGAATAAGTTGCTTTGTAAATCCTGACTACAGTCATTCAGCCTGTCTCTTATTCTCCCTCATAGATGTCTATTCCATTAGTGTCTGTCCCTGACAGGGTAGATTGGGGAAACACTCTTACCCTGGTTGGTATGGAAACTAATCCCAGAGCATGCTGGGAGCATGCAGGCAGTCATCAGACCCAGCTGTGTGGCAGGTGTAGAAGCATTCCTCCCACACTCAAAAGTATCGTGGGACTAAGGAATGTATAATTTGTCTAAAAGAAATATAGCTCGATTGTAAATATGTTAATATTCCTTCTCTACAAAAATAGCACCCAATTTGGTAAGAGTGTCTTTCAATTAGCCTTTCTTGATGCATCACAACCCACCTTAGGAAATTATTCGGGTAAAGAATAACTGACTGTGTGTGCGTGTGGTGATGGATACTTTTAGAGGTGTCTTCTCATCCTGTATTGTTACCCATTGCCTGATAACCAAGTAATAAGTCCCAGGGAGCCATGCTTGTATGCTTGTATTGTGATCTACCCTAGTTGCCTTAGAAATGAGAGCCAGAGTCAAAGAACCACCAGATTCTCTCTTTTGAAATCTGGCATTAGAAAGGTGGATTTTATCTAGCCTGAACTATTTGCTTAAATTCCAGTCTCAGCAAACAGGCCAAAGGTCAGTCCAGTGGGTCTTTTTTGTTAGCTGTGTATTTACAGCTTATCTTTAACTATCTTGTTAGTAGCAAGAATTTAGCTCTTTTTTTCTGCCTCCAAATTTTGAGTTCATCTGAGCCTATCAGATTGATTTTGACAAGCCAAACAAGAGTGGCGAGTGTTATGGACTATCTCAGAGATTTCATCATTCCTTTAGGAATATTTGTGGCTCAGGCCATTAAAGCTGGAAGAATTGTGAAGAAATGAGATTTAAGCAAGGGTGGTGTTTCATAATTGTATTAGTCAGGATCCTGGCACCAAACAGCTTGGCATGCTTTTCAGATGATTTAAGAACTTAATAAAGGGACTATTAACAACAAGGGATAATGTAATGACCTTGTCACTGCCAGGTTTCTCTTGCCATTTCAGTGCCTAAATGGGAAATTCATGGAGTGGTTTTGAGAGACGCAAAACAATGCAAGGAAGAGACAGGTCAGGAGACAAAAACAGCACAAGAGCTTTGTAAAGCTAAGACCGTTGATAGGAGCGTGAGCATGGGAACATGGCCGGGGTTACACCAGCAGCAGAGAAATGGGAAACTAAGGATGAAACCGGATCCTCACATCTCTCTTCCCACTTGTTCATCTTCTGGTCTTTTGTTTTTGATTTTTCCTAATTAGTTGAATCCACCTGGAAGCCTGTGGTGAAGCGAATCTGCCGAACACATAGCAGAGGTTCCTGCGTGATAAGAGCGTGGAGAAGAATGTATGGTGGATGAGGAGAACAAGCAGACACCCAGCCTTGCTAACTTTCCGCTCTCTCACGCAGGCTTCCATCTCTTTCAACCTAGACAGCTGGTGACACATCGAAGCAAATCTGATCATCTGGGACTAATTTTTCACTACCTGTGCTTGTACCTTGAGCCTCAGAGACGCAAAGTTCCATCGCGTTTCTCTTTGTCTGTAGGTACCATAGAATGCCAGGAATGCCATCTGCAGCTCTTGACCCTCTGCCAGACTTCATTTGTGGAGGGTCCGGAATGTGACTCCATCTTACACAGGGAGCAACTCCGTTTTAAATAAGGACCTACGCGTGAGTCCAGGAAGTCCTCCAGTCAAGTTTAGCCAATCGGCTAAACAATTTTAAACCTGGCCTTATAAGGCTAGGGCGGCCCAGATTTACAGGGTACAGCTGTTACTAACCATATATGCCTAAAAACCCACAATGGTAGAATGGGTTAATGAGTCCCATCCAATCAACACGTGCCTCATGTAGCGGCTCCTTGCCTGACCAGTTAGAACAGAGATTAGCTCACCACACTTAGAATTCCCCAAGTTTACTTTAAAGGGGCCTGTGTACCTTTGTCCCCAGTCATCATCACCATTTTGTGTGGATGATGGACCCCTGCATGCTGGCTATTTCTGTAGAATAATGCTTTCTGTGTTTGCATACCGTTCATGTCGGGGGTGGGGTGGACGGCTTTCTTCAGCGATTCTCAGACCTTACAGTTTTGATTTCTACTAACCAATGTTCACTTTTCTCTGCAGATTTTTGGATCTCCTTCCAGTAGAGCTGGGCACTATCTTTATTGCCCTCTGTGACCATCCGCCTCCATCCCTTCTCATACCCTGTGGAACACTGCTAACACCTCTTGCGTGTGTCTCCTTTCTGTGGCTCCTTGAGGGCTTCTGTGTCTGTCCCCTCACTGCATTTGATGTCGTTAGCATTTCACAGAGGGCCTGGCAGAGCTGGAGCTCAGAAAATGCTTGACAAATGAACAGTTCCTCGGCTTTCAGTTGGGCTCCCATCTGCCTTGCTCATTTCCACACGCCCTCCAGATTAATATTTCAAAACTCAGTCTCTTCAGCCCTCTGCTCCTAGACTCTCCAGTACCCCACTGTGAGTGGACGGATGGGCAAGGCTTCCTGCCTGTCTGCACTGCGCTTTATTGTGTGGGGGTATTCACTTCTCATCTACTATCTCGCCTCCCTGGCTCTTTTCCTACACCTCTCATCCCCATTCCAAGACTTATGGAACCGCCAGTTGTTCCCAGCAGGTCTTGCTTGCCCATGTTTTGTTGCATTTGCATTTGCTTATCCTTCTGTCTGGGAAGCCTTCTCCATTACAACACTCTGCAGAAAGCTCTGCTTTTCTCCCGCCCCCCCCCCCTCTTATCTAAGTCTTTGCTTTTTAAGGCTATAGGTGACATTATTTTCTTTATTATAGACACTTTGAAGGCTTTCCCTTTCAGTTGACAAACTCGGGTACTTTTTTTACCTTATGAAATTCCTTACATATTGTATTGATGTCATGTGTCGTCTTGTGCGTTGCTATTGGCTTTCTTTGTTTCCAGACTTGAAAAGAAACCCTGATGCAGAGCTGGGGAGATAGCCATCTTGCTGTATTCACACAGGTACCCACTCACAATGTATCCACAAATAGCCCCACAAATGTGCTTTGAACAAATGGACAAATGAATGAATCAGCCAAGCCTGAACCAATGGACTTGGATTATTCCATGAGCATCTCTGGTTATTCCTACACAGCGTGAGTGTCTCTACACAGCACGAGGGTCTCTCCTGCCAAGGGCACAAAGACCACACCACGTAGAACCTGGCCAGTGGGATGCACACAGAGGAGCATACGGAACTGTAGCTCCGTGTCCTTTCCTGAGTAAAGGGTCACCTTTCTTTCTCCTTTCTCTTTTCTTCTGACTTTACCATGGATATGTAGGCTGCAGCACATACAGCCATCTTGGGTCAGGTGTCGGAAGCCACATGCTGGGAGCGGTGAAGGGAAACACCAGGGGATCCTGAATCTCTCATGACGATAGAACTTCCAAAGGAGCCCAGACAGCTATGCAGACTTTTCCAGGAGGAAGAAAATTCTGTTGTTCAAGCCATTTTTACAGGAGATGTTTTTATCATCTTCCATTAAGCTCCATCCTAATCAATAAACCAAGGTAATCATTTTCACTAACTGAATCAAAGTCAAAAGATATCTTAAAAAAAACCTCAGCAGATTGTGTTTTGCTTGTCTTAGTATTATTGTTTCAGTTTTTATTTATAATTTCTCAAACCCACTTTTAGAGAGATACACTAACGGGTCTAACGTAGACAAGCAGGGGTGTTTGCCTTTGTCAACAGACTCACAATCTTATTGGATTTCAGAATTCCATCTCAGGGTGACAGCTGGCATTTAATTGACAGTGACTGTACCTCAGTACGACAAAGACCCCAGCTGAGGTAAGTCCCTGCTGGTGTGGAGTTTTGCTTCGCTGCCAGGGGCTGGCCACTCACTGTTTTCCCTAGCAATATCAGCACTGCCTTTCAAGTTGCTATGCACAGGTCCCTTCCCACAGCCTCTGGATTTGGCCTCATGATGTAGGTATCAAGTGCATTGTACCTTACCATCTTCCCTTTCAGTATTACTTTAATTGTTCTTGGCTTGATCCCCTAGGAGGCAGAGGATGGGTAGGTTGTCAGGAAAAAAGAACAGATATCCACCCTTTCTGGGAGAGGTCTGCTCAACTCTGAGAATTGGGATTTTTGTATTAGCCGATGAGGTTTTTTTTTTTTTTTTTGATTGGATAGATTTTCCTGGGAGATCTCCACCAGGAATAGGCAGCCTGTGGTTATGTTCTGCACCTATTTAAAGCTGGAGTTGTAAAACTGATGTGTATGTAATCTCCTTTCAGGTTTCCATGGTAACGACAGCAGTGATTCTATGAAGTGTCTTTCTTTCCTCACTCCTCTTTCAAGATTTTCAGGCTGTAATTTTTAAAAAAAAAAGTTTTTCCTTTTAAAATAACAGAATGTGTCTAGATTCATTTTGTTGAGTCAGTTGTGAGACTGCAGAGGTTCCTAGGACTCGAATACACTATAAGTCAAGGATTTTGTTTCTAACAAGCTGTGTGATTTGGGGCAAGTCAGTTGTCCTCTATAAGCTCCGATTTCCTCATATACCAAATATAAACCCAAATCATCCGTACAAAGGCCTGCAGGAAGTGTACACAAAGTGTCTGGCACACCCTGTGACTTATAGTAACAGTGACCAGCTAAATAAATGTTCGGCAGCTGTAGGCCTTTGATGTGAACATGCTATAGTCTGTTGTTATTAGCAGGGTTTATAGACGTGACCCCCTTATTAACCTTGATATTAGCAATCTGTGTTTTCTTTCTTTTATTCTTCTACTTGGTGTGTCGTTATGTATTTATATTTAAAGTACATCTTTTGGGGTCTGGTGAGATGGCTCAAAGGGTAATTGAAGCTTGGTGACCCGAGTTATAGTTCTGGGACCTTGTCTTTGTTAGGGTTTCTATTGCTGTGATAAAACACATTGATCAAAAGCAACTTGGAGAGGAAGGGGCTTATTTTGCTTATACTTCCACATCACTCTTCCTAGTTGAAGGAAGCCAGGGTGAAAACTCAAACACGGCAGGAACCTGGAGGAAGGACCTGATGTAGAGGCCATGGATGGCTTCCTCAGCCTGCTTTCTTATAGACCCCAACACCACCAGCCCAAGGGTGGGGCCACCAACAATGGGGGGGAAGGGGGACATATACCTCAATAATTAAGAAAATGCCCTGTAGGCGTGTCTGCCTACAACTCAGTGTTATGGAGATGATTTCTCAGTTGAGGTCTCCTCCCCTCAGGTGACTAAAACTAGTGTCAAGTTGATGTAAAACTAGCCAGCACAGACCTACTTTGCAGAAGGGCAGAACCAACTTCTGAAGGATGTCCTCTGACCTCTGTATGCAGGCCATGACCTGAGCTCACATGAGTCTGCACATTTCCAACACAAATGTACACAAAATAAATAAAAGTGGAAAAGAGACCATTTGATTTAAACAAAAAGAAATCACAAAACACATAAAGAAACAGGGAAATGTAATTCATTACAAAAAAAAAAACATGAACCAACAGACTCTGTCCCTGAAAAGGAACTGTTTTCTAGATAGAGTAGAAAACAAGACAGACGCTTTAAAGCTAAGCAAAGAACTAAAAGAATATATACATGAGTGAGTGTGTCATGTGGGGTACACAGTTGACATCAGGTGTCTTCCTCAGTTACTCTCTACTTGGTAAACTGAGAAAGGGTCTCTCATGGAATGCTGAGTTTGCCATTTTGGCTTCTCGGCCTTATGGGATTGTTCTGTGGGGGTTCCAAGACCGGCAAAATAAACCACACGCTTAATGAGGGTATAGGTAACTATTTATTGTGGAAGGTACTTACAAGAGAAACTGGCAAACTAGGTGAGTCAGCAGCTCTCTGAGACCAGACCGGAAGCCCGAAAGAGAGCATGCATCTCTCCTGCACAGCCTTTAATTACCACATCCGTATCCGCCTCTAGCCACACCCAAAGTGGGCGTGGTAAGTGGCACAGGTATCTAAGATCTTTCCCTACAATGCTTGGGCCCTGCCAAGCTGTCTGAACCCCCAAATAACACACAAGATACTACATTAATTATGAAGCTGTTGGCTGTTTGCTTGGTTTCTTACCGGCTAGCTCTGACTTGGTTATTAACCCACAATTATTAATATATATTTTTAAAGGACTTTACGAGGACACACTCCTGCCGTGTCCATTCCTCCCGTGAGATCACATGGCGAGAGCTCTCCTCACTGCTATTCCCAGAATCCTCCTAGTCCCACCTATCCTGTTTCCCTATTGGCCAACAGTGCTTTATTCAAACCAATCAGACACATATTTACAGAATGATGTCTCCCAATGGTTCCCTGTCCTGTCTTTTGTGTGCAGGGGAGTCCCATTGCCCACCCAGATTTTACGTGGGTTCTGGGGATCGGAATTCTAGTCTTCACACTTGCTTAGCAAATCCTTTACCCACTGAGCCATCTCCCTAATGGTAGTTTTTAAAGCTCATTTCCTTTGTACTTCATCATTTCTATCATTTATGCAGGCAGTTTCATTGACTTGCTTTTCTTTTGGTTAGACATCTTTCCAACTTGTTGGCATGCTTGGTAACTTTAGACTGGGTGTACAGATTATGAATTTCAGAATTTTGGCTGTTATATTTTTTCCTTTAAGTAGTCTTGGATTTTTTTTCTGGTATGTATTAAAAGTATTTGAAGTAAGTAGTATTAGCTGTCTTATCTTCATGTCTGTTGCTATGACAAACATCCCAACAAAAATCAACCAAGGGAAGAAAATGCATATTTAGCCTGCAATTCCAGGTTACGATCCACTGTTGCAGGGAACTTGAAGCATCACATCAGCAGGAAAAAGCAGACAGAGAATAAATGCATGGACCCTTGCTGGCTTCCTCTCAGCTAGCTTTTTCCTCTCTCATACTGTTTTGGATCCCCTGCCTAGGGAATGGTGTCACCTACAACAGGCCTAGTCTTCCTACATCAATTAAAAATCAAGACCGCCCTCAATCCCCGGGATGCCAACAGGCCAACCTCAAGTGGACTAAGAGTAAGAGTCTCTTCCCAGTTGATCCTAGGTTGGGGCACACGACTTTAATCCCAGCACTCAGGAGGCAGAAACAGGTGTATCTCTGGGAATTCAAGGCCAACCTGATCTACAGAGTTCCAGGACAGGCAAGTCTACACAGGGAAACCCTGTCTTGAAAAACCAAATGAAAAAAATTGATACAATTTTAATATATCAGTTTCCTACCTTTCTGATTCATATTTTTGTGAATATATTAATTATTTGACTAAGACTAGGTTGAAATCCTCCCCTCTGTGAATTCCTTTAGACATTTTACAAATCAGAGCTTAAGTTTACATCTATGGTTCATTTCAAACTAATTAATGCACATTATATGAGCAAGCATCAACATTCGTTTTCCCATATAAACTGTAATCATGTCAGCATACTATTTAAAAAAGACTGTTCTTATTCTATTGAGTTGCTCTAATAGCTTTTCAAACCATCCCATTTCCCCTTTGCTCTCTCATGGGAATACACCTACCACCTTCTCCATCTGATACTGGGCGTCTCCATCCATCTGCCATGTATGCAGTCCTGAAGTCACCACTTTCCCATTTTATTTCTCAGAGTTTTGAATCACTGTGACAACATACCTGTCATACACATTAAGGGCAGAAGATTCGGCTCAGCCTGCAGATTCAGAGGGGTCAATCCATACAACTCTGGTCCTTGATCCTAGGCCTGTGGGGAGGCAGAGCATGGTGGCAGCACATGACACAGAGGTCGCTGATGGCAGACAAGGTGCAGGAAGAAAGAGGAATCTTCAAGTCATGCCTCTGGGTGACCTACACCTCCAAGCAAGCACCCTTCTTCTTCTTTTTTCTATTTTTCCTTTATTGAAAATAGATTTCCCCCATATAATAGGTTCTGATTACAATTTCCACTCCCCAAACTTCTCCGAGATCCACCCCATCTGAATCCATACCCTTTCTGTCTCCTTAGGAAGACAGACACCTAAATAATAATAATAAAGTAAAATAATGTAAAACAAAACAAACACACTGGAATAGACAAAACAAACAAAACAGAAGAAAGAGCCAGAGGAAAAGCACAAGAAACACACATAGATGAAGAGACGCAAGTTTGCACACACGTAGGAATCACACACACACACACACACACACACACACACACAAATTCAGAAGTCATAATTTCTTTGCAAGGGACTTACAAGGTCAAAAAAAAAACTTCCCTGACAGAACAGAACATTATGGGGCAAAGAATTTCCAGAGATACTGTTGAGTTTGTTTTGTGTTGGCCATTTACTACTGGGCACATGTTGTACCTCTAAGAGTGGTTTGTATCCCCAGTGAGACTCTGTTGGGAAAAACTTAGTTTTCATTTGTAATGATTATCAACTGAAGATTCTGTGTTAGAGATGGGGACTTATGATCACTTGTCTCAGAGCTGGGGCCCCGTCTGGTGCAGACCTGTGCAGGCCTGTGTATGCTCTCACCGGCTCTGTGAATACAGATGGGTGTCAGTCCTACTGTATTTAGAAGACCTTGCTTCCTGGGTGTCCTCCATTCCCTCTGGCTCTTACAGTCTTTCAGCCTCCTGAGCCCTGGAGGGAAGAATTTGATGGAGATTCCAATTCAGGCCTGAGTGTTCCAAGGTCTGTCATCATTTGCCTGTTGTCTGTCTCTGGGTCTCTGTATTTGCTCTCATCTACTTCAGGAGGTAACTCCTCTAATGATGGCTGAGCAAGGCCATCTATGAATATACAACAGTATATTACCAGGAGTCATTTTGTTGCTGTTTGTTTACTTAGAATAACAGCAGTATTTGTTTATCCCTGTGTCCCTGGCCTGTCTGGTCTCAGGCTCTCAGCCCCTTTAGCAGTGTCAGGAATGGGTTTCTTCTCACAGAGTGGGTTTTAAATGCAGGTGTTGGTTGATTACTCCCACACACTTTGTGTCGCTATTTCATTAGTGTATCTTGCATGTATAATTATGATCAAAGCATTTGTAGTTGGAAACCCCCCTTCTTAAAGTTTCTCTCAAAAATAGCATTACCACCTAGGTGGGGACCATAATGCTTTCTTATTTTTCTTGGTGGTCAAGGGAAAGTTTGTGTCTTTATTGTAATGCCTAGCTTTCGGAGACTTAAAACCCACCTCTAATGTCCAGTATTTCCATAATCAATAGAAATATAATATGTGCCTTATGATTTCTATTAATGCTTTTGTTTCAAAAGCCCTGTGGTGATATCAAATATTTAGTTTCTCCAACAAGATTCATCAAACAACTTCGAAAATTAAAATACCAGACTAGACTTAAAATACAAGCAGATGGAAGCCAGGACTATATTATTTAATACAAAATAATAACAATTTATTTACAGATATGAAGTAAACTGGGTTCTAAGAGTTCACAAGAAAGAAACCCAGTTTATTTTAGGCTCGGCTTTTGAAAACGTAGTCCTTCTGAAACTATGAAAAGTGACCATGAAAGGCCATTTGACAATTTGAAGAGTCATTATTAGGGATATTGTCACAATTTATTTACATTTAGTTTTCTCTGGAGTTGTTTTGCCCTTAATTTATTATTAAATCATAT